CACGATCTCCGCGATCTCGAGGTTGTCGATGTAGATGAACCACATCGCGATGCCGTCTGCCTGGGCCTCCGCAGGCAGGCGGCGGGTGCGCACCACCTCGGCCGCAGGCGGCAGTCCGCGGGGGTCCACGGCCGACCGCCTCAGCATGTTGCGGTGGAGGTGCGTCGTGACCCCGACCGCGCTGATCCAGCCCATGCCGACGACCCTCAGCGCGATGCGGGTCAGCCCGTCGCCGCTGCCGCCCACCAGCCGCCGCGGCACCAGCGGCCCCAGCGCCGTGTAGGGCCACCAGGCGGGGGGCGCCCTGAAGACGTGGAAGAACGCCTTGCGGCCCGCCCCGCTCCAGAGCAGCTGCTCCCCTGGAGCCAGCACCAGCCCGTTCAACTGCCCCATCGTCGGCGTGACGGGGGTGCCCCCTGCGATGGCGCGCTGGCACGCGTTCGCGGGGATCAGGTTGACGATGAGCCGAAGGACGGGCCGCTCCTCGCCATCGCCGCAGCGGACTGGCGCGTCGTGCACCCTCGCCACGCCGAAGGCCCCGTTGATCAAAGGGACCCCGTCTCTGGTCGCGATCTCGCCCTCGTCGATCGGGCCAACCATCCCGCATGCAAACAAGGCACTCACCACCCGCTCCCACTCCTGCGCCGTCGCCCAGACGCGCGTCGAGGTCGGCGCAGGGCGCCTCTGAGCCGGCGGCAGGAGGACATCCCCGATCTGCTCCAGCGTGATCTTGCTCGGCGTGGAGATCTCCGAGCCGTCGTACGCGATGGCCCGGTCCTTCAGCTTTTCGGACCAGTCGAGGGTCTCGGCCATGGCGGGCTCGGGCGCAACGCTCGAGTAGATGCGCCGCGCAATCCCGAGGAGGGCCGAGCGCCGGGCTGCGTTCGGCTCCGGCCCGCAGACGCCCGCCCACTTCAGGTGACGGTAGCCAGCCTCCCAGTTCATAGCCATCACGATCACCCTCAAGCGAGACTGCAGCGAGCTCAGGTCGCCTGGGTCAATCTTCTCCTCCACGGTGAAGTCCGAAGCTTCGAGACCAGGACAGGGTAGCGGCAGCAGGTCACGCTGCAGCCGCCCCCGTCAAGTTGGCCGATGCCCGCTGTGCATAAACCTGTCCACGTAGACCCCAAGCGACCCTGGAAACTCCCGCATCAGCTCCTCGAGGATCGGGCCCGCATCTAGCGGCCGGCGGAAGGACTCGGCAGCCGCCCCAGCCTTCTCCTGCCACCTGCGGAAGAGCTCCGCCAGGGGGGCGCCAGCGTCTGGCCACACCGCCTCCGCGCGCGCCGCCTCCTGGCCTGCTGCCAGCGAGTCAGTTGGCGGCCCCGGCTCGCCCATGCGGTCAGCACGAGCTCCAGCTGGGCCCAGAGGGCCGCATCTTCACGTGCATCATCAGCTGAGCGCGCCCGAGCCTCCAGTGCTAGCGGCCCTTGCCGCGACCCTTCCAGGGCGCCGGCCTGCCGCGGCCAGGCAGCCCTCCTCTCGGCGCCCGGCGTCCGCGGTGCTTGCCCTTGCCCTTCGGGCTGCCGCCGCGCCCCTGGGGGGCCTCTCCGCCGACCTGCGCTGCTGGCTGGTCCTGACGGAAGGCGCGGACTTCGGGGGCGCCCAGCAGCGCCACGCGGCCCGGCGCCGCCGCAGCGCCAGGGCGGGGGCTGTCCCCGCGGGCCGTCCTGGGCGGGAGCGGCGAGGGAGGCCGCCCCCCGGCGTCGGAGGGCACTCGGGCGGGGGACCTCGAGGCCTCGCGAGCGGCCGCGGGATCCTCCAGCCCGCTGGCAGCCTGGCCCACGGCCGCCGCAGCTCCTCCAGGGCGGGCAGCGCCACGCCTCGTCGCCATGAAGGGCCGCCCGCGGCGAGCGGGGTCGCCCCCACGCCCGCGGCTCCGCCCTGGCGAGGGCGCTCGGGGCGGCTCCGCAGCCGCCGCCTCCTCGGGTCAGCGGCGGGGGGCTGCCCCTCTGGCGCGGACCTCCTCCAGCCGCCGCCGCAGCATCGCCGACCTCCGCGCTGACTCCTGCTCGTCGCGGGAGGCGAGCGTCGGGCGGATCCCCTCGACCACCTCCAGCTCGTTGGCGATGTACCAGTTGCCGTCGTTCAGCGCCATCTCCAGCGCCTTGAACCGCTGCATCAGCGTGTCCGCGACCGACGCCAGCGACCCGTCCTCGAGGAGGTCCATCGCTGCCGCCAGCGTCTGGAGCTCGCGCACCGTCCGCTCCCCGACCGAGTGAATCGGGTGGTGGCCGAACACCACGGCCTGGAGGTAGCCCCTGATGCGGGGGCGAACCCTCTGCCCGTCCGCCCCCTCCCGCAGGCCCATGACACGCGCGATCTGGGCAATCGCTTCGTCGTGCAGCATGCCTGGGCGCCCATCGGCCACCGCCTGTATGGCGTTGCCGCGAGAGGGGGCGTCGCGAAAATCCAGCTGGTCACCGCCAGCCCGCTCCTCGCTGTCGCTTCGCGACTGCTCGCGACGGCGCCGGCGGACCGCCAGCGGGCGAGCTGCCGAGCCGGCCGCCTCCAGGGCAGCCGCAGCCGCCGCGAACCCAGCCGCAGCCCCCACGAGGCGGAAGAGGGGGCGGAGCGGCGGCGCCGCCCCCGGGCCCACCGCAGCCTGGCGGTCGGAAGGTCGGCCGAACCCAGGGCTCGACCAGGCTCCGAGCCGACCTCAGGCGAAGCCAGTCGGAGTGCCGCTCGCCGCGCCCGATCAGCTGCGGGGCCCTGCAGGCAGCGGCGCCGCCCGCGCAGAGGTGCAGGACCCCTGGCTGCCCGGCGCCTGGGGCGGGGAAGCTCAGGTCCAGCTCCAAGGCGCGGGCCGGGAGCGAGGCGCCCCGGAAGTTCACGGAGAGGTAGACCCCGTCTGGGCCCGGCGCGCCCGCCTCCACGACCTCGAAGAGCGCCGTGCCGTTCACCTGGCCCGTCGGGTCGTGCGTGGGCGTCTCCAGCACCGCCCCCGCAGTGAAGGCCCCGTGCTGCAAGGCCGGCGAGCCCATCCAGGGCCCGTCCACCAGCCGCTCCGACTGGCGCCGGCACTGCAGCGGCCGCCGCGCCGCCGCCCCCAGCGCCAGCAGCAGCCGCCCCTGGCAGCGCGAGGGGCCCAGGCGCCGGCGGCGCGCCGGGCAGCGGCCCCCCTCCTGGAACGGGAAGCGCGGCCAAGGCCCCTACCAAGGCCGCGCCGACCCCAGCCACGGCGCCGGGCGGCGCCCCTGGCGCATCGCCTCCAGGCGCGGCGGCGGGCGGGCCTGGCAGCGCTCCGGCCGCGATCCCCAGCGGGGGGGCACCAGGCAGCAGCGCAGCCCCTCCGCCGCCAGGGGGGGCAGCCGCGCTTAGGGGGGGTAGCGCAGGAGGTCCCGCGCCGGGGCCACCTCCCGCGGTTCCCGCGCCCCCTCGGGCGTGGCCGCGCCCGCGGCCCGCCGCAGCTGCGCCTCGGCCCTCCGCCGCGCGCGACGCCAAGGCCCCGAGCTGCCGCCTTGGCCTTGCCTTTCGCCTTGGCCTTAAAAAAAAATAAAAAAACAAAAAAAAAGAAAAAAAAAAGAAAAAAAGATTAAAACAATAAAAAAAAGAAATAAAAAAAAAAATTAAAGTAAAAAAAAAAAAAAAAATAAAACAAAAAAAAATAAAAAAAATCTAAAAAAAAACAAAAATAAAAAAAAAAATTAAAAAAATAAAAAAAAAAAAAAATAAAAAACAAAAAAAAAAAAAGAAAAAAAAAAAAATACAAAAAAAAAATTACAAAAAAAAAAAAAAAAATTAAAAAGCAACAAAAAAATAAAAAAAAAAAAAAAAAATATAAAAAAAAAAAAATTAAAAAAACAAAAAAATTAAAAGAAAAAACAAAAAAAAAAAAATAAAAAAAAAAATAATATAAATAGTAATAAAAAAAAACTTAAAAAAATCAAAAATCAAAACTAAAAAATTAAGAAAAAAAAAAATCAAATTTAAAATAAAAAAAAATAAAAAAAAAAAAAAAAATAAAAAAAAAAAATAAGTTTGGGCGGCATCTCGGACGCCTTCGTCCGCCAGGCCAGCCAGCGCCGCCAGGAGGGCCGTCAGGTGGCGCGTTTGCTCCAGCAGCACCGCGCGCTCGCCCGGCGTCAGCCGGGCCCACCAGGCGTGCTGGCGCGCCAGCGCCAGGAGGAAACACAGCTCGCACACCTCCCAGAGCTGGCCGTTCAGGGCCAGGGCCAACGACTCGTTGGGCCCCAGCCGGCCCGAGCACCACCCGCAGTAGCGCCCAGGGGGCCGTGGGGGCCAGCCAGGCGGCGGCCCAGGAGGGGAGGCGACCGCCTCCTGGATGGGCTCCCAGGCGGGCGGCGGTGGCCCGGAGCCAGGGTCAGACATGCCCCGCAGGGCGACAAGCCTCAAGAGACTGAGCCACAACAGCGACTGCCATGCAATCTCTCGACGGCCATGCCATCTCCGCACCCATGATCTCCCACCCCCGACTTATCTACCGCAAGCGTTTATATATATATTTATATATATATATACATCTATATATCTATAGATCTATCTATCTATCTATCTATCGATCTATCTATCTATCTACAGTTCAAGGCAGAGCGGTGATGCCTGTACAAAGCGGGATTGAAAGAGCAGGACGAGAGCAAGCAGGAAAAGGGGAAGGCGAAGATCCTCGTGAAAAAAACGCTGGGATGATAACAATAGCCCAGCACGGTCCACGCCCCACCGCCCCAGCTTCCGCCAGACCCCAGGCAGCAACAGGGGGGACGAGGGAGAGAGAAGGAGGGGACGGGGACAGACCGAAACGAATCCCACCCCAACCCAAACCACCCTTTCGAATGGAGATCACCTGGACTCCGCGAGGGAAAAGGGGAGTTGGAGCCATGTGTGAGGAGGAGCGAGAGGAGAAGGAGGAGCAGGAGGAGGAGGAGGAGGAGGAGGAGGGGGAGGGGGAAAAACAGGACAGAGACAGAAAGGGAGGCCCCAACATGGCTCCTCCTCCTCATCCTCCTCCTCCTCTTCCGCTTGTGTGCGCGACGCCAACTTTTCCTCGCCGGCGGCCCACCGCACGCTCCGCACCGAATTCCCGGCGGCCGCCGACGGCGCGCCGCCGCGCCCGCGCGGGCGCTGCAGGAGCCACCCCACTCGCTGCACGGAGGCGGCTGCCTCCCTGTCGACGACGCGCTGCAGTGGCCCCAGGCAGGGGTGGCCTTTGAAACGCGGCTGGAGCCTCAAGCCGTGTTCCAATCGTTCAACATCTGATAAGCAATGAAAGTGCCCGTAACCCTTCGGGAGGGCGCCTGACTTACGAGGGCAAGAACAGTAGGGATAGGGGGTCTTTTCTGCAGATGTATCACACTAAACCGCCCGGATCGATTGTCCCTAGTGCGAAGACGGGGACCTCAGTGAGGCCACGTCTTCATCATGCTATCAGGGTTCGGGCCTCTTTTGTTCTCGACGAGCATCCCACGGATCCAGGGTCGACGGCAGTGCGTGACGTTGGGCGCCGCCGGCGGCGGGGTCGCCGCGGGTGAACACGACGCGAACCTGCCGTGCTCAACGTGGGGTGGAACGGGTCCGGAGGGAGACGGGTCCTGGACCCCGGGGGGCCTGCCCCCAGGACCAGTCCACTGAGTCGTTCTCGGACAGCCCGTGGAGGACACCGGGAAGCCGAGAGCGGTGAGAAACCTCAGGGCCCGATTCCACGAGGACTTCTTTTCCCCCATGGCGACGTACCCCGTCGGATGTTGCTGGAACTTTTCCTGGCTCACGGTGTCCCCAGGATCTCCGAGGCCGGGGTATTCTGGGAGTCCCCTCGGCCGCACAGGCCATGTCAAGGTGCCACCTCAGCTGGCCCAGAACACGGTCGACCTTTGAGCAACGATGGATGTGTATAAACTGCGGCTCGACATACACGTCCACACATACATGCATACGTAATCGGGGAAAAAAAACGCACACGCATGGTACTGACGGGGAAAGGGGGGGCCTCCTGGCTCCCCCCCCCTCGTCGCCACCCGCTTCCTTATCCATCTCTCCATCCTGCTCTTCCCGCTGCTGCTCCCCCTCCGTTTCACCATCCTCCTCTTCATCCTCCTCTTGCCGCTACAGATGCTCATCCTCCTCAGCCTTTTCCACGTCCTCCGCCTCCTTATCCGCTTCTTCGGCCCTCTCCCCCTCCTCCCCCTCCAGCCATGCTCCCCCTTTCTCTCCCTCCTCTTCCATTTTCCCGCATCACCAATTGTATTTCCTGCCTCCTTTTCCTCAGCCTCCTCCTTCTCCTCCTCCTCCTCCTTCTCCCCCTCCCTTCTCCCCATGCGTTTCCTCGTCGTTCCCCTTCCGCCCCTCCTCGGCATCGTCGTCGTCCTCCTCCGCCTCCTTCTGATCTCTCTCATTTTTTTTTTTTTCTCTCTCTCTCTCTCTCTCTCTTTCTCTCTCTCTCTCTCTCTCTCTCTCTCTCTCTTTCTCTCTCTCTATATATATGTGTCCTTCTTTACTTACGTATGTATATATGTAAGTTTTTTGTTATATCTCTCTCTCTCTCTCTCTCTCCCTGTCTTTCTCTCTCTCTCTCTCTCTGTCTCTCTTTCTCTCTCTCTCTCTCTTTTTCTCCCTCTCTCTCTCTTTCTCTCTTTCTCTCTCTCTCCCTCCCTCTTCTCCCTTTATTGATTGTCCTTGTTGCCTTGCCGTGCCTTTTCAGCGACGCGACGTTCTAAGACGACCCAAGAGGTCCCCGACCCCCCCCTGGTGGACAAGAGCCATGGTTTTATCCACCGGTGTGGATAGTTGGGGATTGCCTTCAGCGCCACCGTGACTATCGCCTGCCAAAGGTAGTGTTGGCCGCGGGATTGGGGGGTGGAGAGACGGAGGTGGTGGTGGCGGCACAAACAGCAGCATTGGACGCATTCGCAGACGTTGGTGGCGTGATGGTGGCGATTGGACAAAAGGCCCATCGACCACCACAACAGCCGCAACCGCCATCCCCCATGTGCGCAAAGTTCGATGGTGTGATGTAGGTGATGGCGGTGGCGGTAGTCGTGGAACCTGGTAGAACCAGCCGCACACGTACCAGCATCACTTGGTTGTGGTGGCAGCACTGGGAGCTATGATGGCCACCCGTGGACTTCAATGTTGGCGTTGGCAGGATGGTGTCGCATCCGCCACAACATCCACCGCCACGGCCGCCATCCTTTGCCAAGAAAGGGCAATGGCGGTGGCGATTGGACAGGATGGTGTCGGTGGTTGATGTATCGGTGGTGGCAGCAGCAACACTAGAAGCAGTCGCACCTGCGCAACTTTATCACCATCCCCCTGTATTTTCTTCCTGCTGGCCATCCACTTCCCTCGATGGATGTGCTGGTGGCCGTGGGAAGAGATCGCATCCACCGCCGCAAGCACCACAGCCACCCCCTGTACGCAGAAGGAGTATAGGTGGTGGTGGGGGGGTCGCAATTGCGGCGGTGCACGGACTTGTGCTAGCGGTGGTTGCATCCGCCCGAGACGCGGCGACAGATGTTGGTGTGGGTGGTAATGGGAGAATTTGCAACGCCGCCACCATCTCCATTCCTGACCCAGAGCGGGTAGCGGCGGTGGCGGTGATGCACCGCTGGTGGTGGTGGTCTGGTTCCAGCGACAGCGGTGGTCCAGCATCCTTCCGAACAAGCGCTGTAGCACTGAGTGGTGGTGATCGGCAGTCGTACAGGTATTACGTATATAATTTGTAGACTGTGGAAGTGTCGGTGGCGGTGGCGTTGGCAGCGCCTCCACCAACGCCGTCAGCACCACCACCGCCACGATCACCCTGGCTCAGAAGGGGCGGTGGTGGTGGCGGTGTAGTCTTGGTTGTGGCGTAGCGTTGGTGGCGGAAGCGTGGTGGCATCTGCAGCAACATGGCTCGAAACACTCGTAGGAAGGAAAGAATAGGTGGTAGGAAAGGCCGATGACATGACAACAGCCTGACATGAGGGGCGGATGGACTCTGCAGCAACATGACTAGAAGCACACGCGAGCAGTGGTGGTGGTAGGAAGGGCCGAATGCACTACCCCATCCACCACCAGCAACCAGTTGGCCAAGGAAGGGTAGCGGCGGCGGCAGAGGAGTGGCATTGTTGTGGGGGATCTAACTCATATTCCTTTGGCGGAAGAGTCGATGATTTGCAATAAACGACCTCCCGGAGTGATATCCAATGGAACTAATTGTGTAGACGGTGTCGGCAAAACTCATTTTGTTTATATCTCCTTTTTGTGAAGGACCTCGATCTGATTCCGTTTGCGGAGGACTTCAATAGTATTCCATGTGTAAGAAGGTTTCGGTCGAATTCCTCGCGTTGCGCTTCCCAATCGGATTCCTAATTGTTGCGGACTTGAAAGGGGAGTCATTGTGTGAAAGGTTGCATAACGGTTCCTTGTGTAAAATATGTAAATGGAATTCCTTTTGTACAGTCAATAGAGCTCGTGTTGTACAAGATTTCAATGGAATTCCTTGCGCCGAGGGTTTCAATTGGATTCCTTGTGTGGCGGATGTCACTCGAATCATGTTGTAGAGGATTTCAATGGGATTGCTCTTGTGGAGGTTTTCAATCGCATTCCTGTTGTGGTGGGCCGAATCTGGATTCCACCCGAATCTGGTTGTCCATATTTTTTGAATTAAGATCCTTAATAGTTTGCGCATTTGTTTTGAGTAAAATTGAGAAAAAAACAAGGTTTCGCTTGTGACTCCCTTAATTACTATTAAAATCCAATGATGTCGTCTGGCGTGCATTTTCAACAATAAAAAATGAGGCTGTAGTTCCTGCTTCTATTTTGCTACATGAGCGCTGTTCCGCTTGATACTCTTTGAAATTTCACGCCATTCAAAATCACTGGACTTGAAAAACCCCGAAGGAGTCACAAGCGACATCTGCTTTTTCGATGTCCGAGATCTGTGCAGGTTTTCAATATTTATTTGGTTTTAAAGAATGGAAAATACATTCGGGTGGAACTCTGATGAGGCCAACCGCAAAAGAAATATTCTTGAAATCGTCCACACACATATTCTAACTGAAACTCCCTACAAACAAATTTGATTGAAATCCCCTTTACAAGGGTTCTCATTGAAATCCTCAACAACATAAGCCCGATTGGAATTACCTATAACAAAAAAACCATTTTAACCCTCTACAGTAGGAAACGAACTGATTTTTCCATATAAGGAACCCTATTGGAATCCGCAACAAAGAAATCCCATTGAAATCCTGTACCAAACGAATGTAATTGATATCCTCTACAAACAAACATGTGTTGACATCTTGCACAAAGAAATCAATTTGAACATCTCAACAAAAAGAATTCGATTACAATCTTCAAACGAAGGGTCTTATTGAAATCGTGCACAAAAGAAAATTACCATGAAGCCCCAAGCAACAATAACCGTGTTGAAATCCGATAGAAGCCGCACATTTGCTCCCCCAGAGGGGGACTCTCAAAACACACCGCTCTCGAATTTCCACCAAGGAGGGCCCCCCCGGCCTCAAAGAGCACCCCTCCCAAGCTGAGCGATAGGCTTGGGGCATCTCGGGCCAGGGGCACCTGTGGCACCCCCCGACCCTAGATGGCCACATGCGAACCCTTCCCCCGCCCCCCACGATTTCCAAGGGAGGTGGGGGGGGGGGGGGCTCACTCCGCTCAGGGACCCCCGAACGAAGAGAGCCCCCACCCCCCTTCTGGACATCGTGGTGGGCGGGGGCACGGCTCACATGTTAGGAAAAGAGGCACCACCACATACATAAAAAACTCTTGGCGCTCCACGCAGATTTCTTGGATCTGCGCCGGTCCCCCCTCCCTGGCGCGCGGAGCCCCCCTGGCGCGCGGAGCGCGCCAGGGGCGGCGCCGGAGGCGCCGCCAAAGGGCCCCAGCGCCCATCCGAGAAATCCGTGCGGACCTCCGAGGAGGAGGAGGAGCAGGAGGAGGAGGAGGAGGAGGAGGAGGAGGAGGAGGAGGAGGAGGAGGAGTTTATGTCATGGTTCGTGCCCCTAGTGCGGCTGTGGCCGCCCCCGGCCCACCTCGGGCGTGCCGACGGCGGGCCCGCAGCGGACCCCCCCAGAGCGCCTCCCCCTCGCCGCCTCACAGGAAGCAGCCTCCAGGGCGCCGCGCCCGCTTGCCCGAGGGCGGGGCGGGCGCGCCGCCCTCCCCTTGGGCGGCATCCTGCATGCTCGCGGGGCGCTCGCGCACGCGGGGGCGGGGTTCTCTTCAGGGGAGCGAAGAATGACATAAGCATAATAATGCGGAGGTCCGCGCGGATTTTTCGGATCTGCGCTGGGCACCCCCTTGGCGGCGCCTCTGGCGCAGCCCCTAGCGCGCGCCAGGGAGGGGGATCCAGCGCGAATCTGCGCGGACCTCCGAGTTTTTATGTTTATGCAATTTTTCGTTGCCCTACTCTTGGCGGCGGAAAGCTTCTTAGAAGGGCTTAGAAGACGCGGGCCTTCCTTCTACAGACAGGGCCCGCGGCGCGCGCCTTCTGAGGAGCAGCCTCCTTCTGAAAAGCCGCCCCCCTCTGCGCGTGGCCGAAGAGGGCCAGCCGGGCGGAGGGCAATGGGGGTGACCTATGTGGGGAGTGAAGAAAATAGGCCCTAAAGGGCCCAGTTGGGACTCCAAAGAGGAGGAGGAGGAGGAGGAGGAGGAGGAGGAGGAGGAGGAGGCGGAGGAGGAACGGAGGAGGAACGGAGGAGGAACGGATGATGACAGTTGGAGGATAGGAGGAGGAGGAGGAGGAGGAGGAGGAGGAGGAGGAGGAGGAGGAGGAGGAGGAGGAGGAGGAGGGGTCGCCTAAGCCCTTCGGGAAAAAAGCCTCCACTCTCGCCCGAGACTCCGAATCTAGAGAGCAACTGCCTCGTGGGGCGGCCCCCGAGAAGCCGCCGGGCACCTCCAAAGAGGGCTCCTCGCCTGATGTTGCTCCCACCGTACTTAAGGACCACATCCCAGAAATAATGTCGAGCACCCAGACAAGTGCCCGCAGAAAGCCCCCCAAGAGACCGTCACGAGAGCTCAGGAGGCCCCCTGGAGGCCTCCCGAGTTCTCCAAGAGGCCTAAAAAGAGGCGCCAAGAGGCCCCAAACGGCCCCACCGAGGCTCCAAGAGGCCACGAACGCGCAAGCAAACGCCTGCGATGGCACAATACGGGCCGGCGGAATGAGCGAAGCGATTAAATAATGTCGAGCACCCAGACAAGTACCGAAACAGTATCGAAAGAGTATCGCCTCCCAGGGCCCGAAACGTGAAGACCCTCCAATTTCGGTGCTTTATTGGTGCTCGAAATTGTTTCTGGTGGTCAAGGCCCTCCTCTCCGAGAAGGCCGCCCGCCTCACGCCGCCCCCGTGTGCGTGCCGCCCACTCCTCGTGAGGCGCTCGCGCAGGCTTCCAAACGCCGCCTCTCGGGTACGCGCCGGAGAGGGTGGGGGGCAGGCAGAGGGGTGGTTAGCCCAGCGTGTCCCGACGCGTGCGCGCGGGGGCGGAGGTGTCATGGGGCCCGGGAGGTGTCATGGCCCTGGCCATGACATCCACATGCGCATAAACGCGCACCTGGGCTCGCCTCCCTCGGCGCCTGGTGGACTTCGGGTCATAACTCGAGCCCCTGGCGGCCGTTCGAGACGATCGGGCACCCCAGCCTGGGCGCAGCTGCTGGAAAGCGAACGGAAAAACTGATCGCCCCTCTCCCCTCCACCTTCGACGACGAGAACGTCCTTGCCACCCTCCCCAGAAACCCGACATCTTGTTTTCTTCAATGCGGGGTCCCCGAAGTTTGGACCCCTTCCTGGGGACTGGCTTTTCATTCCCAGGAGTTGTCTATGGTGAGGGTGCCCAGCGAAGGCCCCCAAGGCTGTAAACAGCGCAAAAGCTCAGCTTCGGTTTGTTCAACCCGTTCAATGTCTGGGTTCTGGATGCCTCTGCCGAGGGAGACGAAACAACGGCGTAAACATCAACATTCAGAGCTCTAGGCGAATTTCTTAGATCTGCGCTGGTCCTCCACTCCCTGACGCGCGGAGCGCGCCAGAGGCAGCGATGGAGGCGCCGCCAGGGTGGCTGAACGTCGATTTAAGAATCCACGCAGATCTCGGACAATCTATCTGACTGCAATGTCTCTCTTTCGGTTGGTAACTCGGGCCTCCTCTCAGGACGGTCCAGGCACCCGCGAAACCCCTTGGCGAGGTGCAGCCGCTGGAGGACATCCCGAGCTCGGAAAACCGATGAGAAACGACGAACACGCGTGAACATCTCAAAACGGCTCCCCCCCTTATCGAGAGGCCTCCAAAATGGGGTCCGAGCAAATGGGGTCGCAGGATCGCGCCGCATCGCCAATACATCGCCGATGAATCGGCGATGCGCCGCGCGACTTCGGCGATGCGTCGGCGACGCCAGCGTGAAGAAAATCGGAATCCACACCGAGCCGCATGGCCGATGTATCGGCGATGCGGCGCGGTCCTCCGACCGAGTCTTCTCAGACCCCACCCGGGAGGCCTAGCTTGATCCCCTCTGACGTTGCCCCAGACTGGCCCTGACGGGAAGTCCGACGCGCCCCCGCCTCCGCCCCCCTCCGCCATCCTCTCCCCCCCTACGTAGCCTTAGGTCGGGCATGTCCCCCTACAGGCGGATTTTGAACGAAAAAGAAAAATTGGCAAAACATACCCCAAACTGGGGAATCGTCCCCAGCCTATTTTTCTCCAGCTCTTCGGCGGTGGATAAACCCCCCTTTAGCAAACCACCCCTTAGTGACAGCGGCCGCGACGCCCTCTCGCGGACCGAAAACGGCCAATCCACTAATCGACGTGTCAGCGTATGAGGTCTAGCAGCCTCCAATCCTCCTCCTCCTCCTCCTCCTCCTTCTCCTCCTCCAGACCCTCTTCCAAGCTTTCAGGGCTTCACTCTCCCTGCGCAGCAGAGCCAGACGGCTGCACGGCAGGTCGACGTGTCAGGGCAGGAGGCCTAGCAACCTCTCCGAGCCCTCTGCCCCTCTGCCCTCGCCCGAGTCCCCAGGCTCGGTCCCTCGGTCCTGGCCTCTCAGCCGCGGCCTCGGACTCTCCCCGGCTCCGTCCCTGTCGTCGGCTGCACGCACGAGCGGCCTTGGGCTCAGGTCGGGCGTGTCCCCCCCCTACAGGCGGATGTTGTGCGAAAAACATAAAACCTACCCCAAACATGCCCCCAAAATCCTAAACAAATACTCCAAAAATATTCACCCGACTACTTGTTCTACTATTTTGAACATTCCCCCTGTAGAGTGACAGGCCCGACTTCACCCTAGGCAAATTGTGACAACTGGTGCCCGGCTTTCGGGGGCCGCGGGGGGTCCAAATCCAAGCGCGCAAACCAGAGTTTGGGGGGCCCCTCCGGCGAAGAGTCGCCCTTACGCGAGGCCGATGTCTCTCCAGACATGCGATGTCCTGATTTTCCCAGCGCGGGGTCCCCAAACATTCCGACACTGTACTTAGGACAGGGTTTTCATCATCAAAAGGTAGGAAGGTCGGTTGTCGATTGAACCGGGGTCCCCGAAGAGAGAGAGCCCCAGGAGAGTCCGAGCCACCCCCCAGCTCGGCGCGTCGGGGGGGACCCCACCCCCCCAGATGCTGAAAAAGTGGGACGACGGGATATCTACGTAATCTACAATCTATATATGCAAATATATATAGATGTATATATAGATGTATAGATATGCATATCGAGCTATCCATACACGTATCGGTTGGTGTCTATATATATATAATATATATATTATACCATACATTCTATGAGTATATATGAAATGTATTATATATATATATGTATGTATGTGATACATATATATATATATATATATATATACATACACGGAACATATATGTGTATCTACATATACACGTATATAGGGCCATCTGACTATGTAGAATATAGGCACGCACTTCGACTGCTCCTGGCCAGGAGCAACGGACATGTATAGATCCCGTCGCCCTGAAACGGCGAAAAATCAGCCGCCACGATGTTTCACGACGCGAGCCTGTCTGAGCCTCCTGCTGGCGGTGCGCACAGGGGGGTAAGGGGAGGGGGAACGGCTACCCTACGTCTGCAGACAAGCCTGCGCCTCCTAAGAAGCAGGAGTGCTTCCAAGAAACCTTCCCCCCACCCCCCCCTGCGCGTGGCCGACCGACTCCTGGGCTCTTGGGTCAGACGAAGACAGGACGAGGATAACATCGGTGGAAAAGAAATCAAGAATCTCTGAGATCCGGCGACTCTGGAGGATGTCTCGGGCGCCGCGGCCTTCTCAGAGCGTTCTGGAGCGCTCTGAGAGCGTTCCGGAAGGCTCTGGAACGGATTCGTCCTCGTCCCAGCCCCGTCCGAATCTTGCTCACCGTCCACCTTGGTCACGGTCGAGTCGTGGACCAATCTAACGAATCGGCGACAACCGGCATAAGCTGTGGATGCGATGCCGCGACATCTTGGTCAAGGTCATCGTGCTTCTTTCCCCTCCGCCGCCGCTCCCTCCGTACTGCTCCGTGCGCCAAAACATCTTGTGGAAGGGTGGTGGCAACGTGGTGATGCTCTGGGAGCCTTCCAGAACGCCCTGGAACGGACTCCTCCTCTTGGCGGCGCGCACAAGGGGGTGGAGGGAGCGGGGAGGGCTTCTTAGAAGCAGGGGTGCTTCTGAGCAGCCCGCCCCCCCTCCCCGATGCCCCCCTCTGCGCGTGGCCGATCCTCGCCCCGGCCCTGTCCGATTGGTAAAACAGGGCTAGGATCGGGATAAATCGCTCCAGAGCGTTCCGGAGCGCTCTCAGAGCGTTCCGGAACGCTCTGTTGCGGCCTCGGCGCCCAAGACATCCTCCAAACCCGCCGATTCTCAGAGATTTCGAGTTATCCCGATCCGATTTTTTCCCGATCTTCGCGTCGTTTTCATTGGGCGCCCCCGAGACCTCCAGGTCCGACGAGCCCCCGCCGTGGCAGGGCTGCTGGCGCGCCTTCTGAGCAGGGATGCTTCTGAGCAGCCCGCCCCCCTCCCCGACCCCCCTCTGCGCGTGGCTGATCCTCGCCCCAGCCCTGTCCGATT